CTGAGAGCTTCAAGTTGTTTCAGATATGGGGACCAGACAATCCGATTGGGATAGCTTCCAGAGAAACAAACCAAATTCTATGCTTTCAGACAAAGCAGTGTTCCTCTATAGATCCCAGGAACTAAAGCAACCTATAGGGCATGGCTCAACAGTGACAATAGAAATAGTTCCAAGCTAGAGGACCTAAACTTTAGTAGGAGTCACTTTCCTCGTCTCTGAGACACAATAGCATGCAGCTGTAAGTTAATGCAGGAAGGGTCCATTTTGTCTCATGTTTCAGTCCATAGTCTACTGACTCCAAGACAGGGCAGCATGGCACAGGGCATGGCAGAGGAGAGCTGCTCACCAAGGAATGGAAGACCGCAGAGGAGAGAGGGGAGGGAGGAGCCCAGGAGAGAGTCAACCCTTCCAGGCCAACCTGCCAGAGCCCTGCCACTTCCAGCCAGGCCGCACCTCCTAACAACACATGAGCTTCAATGCCTCATAACGTCACCCCTCCCAAATGCTCCAATGATCAGAAGAGGCTTTGTAGGACCATCCAGCTCTGACCCATAGCAGAATGTAAGCAAGTGAGAAAACAAAAAGAAACAAAACGTTAATGGTATTTCTGTAAAGGAGAATCCATCAGATTTTCCCACCTGGAGCTGTTAGGTGCTTTGTTGACTTTTGCTTTTAAATATTTGACCTTAATGCTACCAGACTGATATGCCGCTTTAACTTAATTAGAAAACTTAAAAGTCTTATATCTGCAGTCAGATCACATCTAAAACTAAGTGCTTCTTACTGGCGACTCAGGCCCTCAGGGGACATGCATCCCACTCATAGAGAGAGCACTTAAACCAGACTCTCCCTAGCTGTGTGTCATGGTCCCTCAACCCCTGCAGTCCAACCTATGCAGTCTTGTCCCTTGATAGAGTCGATATGACTCTTGTGGCCTTTGTATAAACTAGCACTTCAGAGTGAGCTTTGACGAGTCAGAGGGACAGCAGAAAGGCTTTATCCAACACAGAATTGTATCCCCCACTCAATTTACACCAAGTGTTTATAGTGATAGAGAAACATGCAGTAGCCTCTGATATGTTTTTACTCATAAATTGAGTTTTAAGACATGAAAACCATAACCTCAGAGTGTAAGAGGGTCAATGTTCTGGAAAACACTAAAATATCAGCAATAACTCACCATATCTGGAAGGGATCCATGCTGACCAGTCTCCTTAGGAATTCCTCATTCCATACTGTGTTCTGAGAGCATGCTGAAGTAAGCACACTATAATTCTAGATAGGCCAGAGCACTGGTAGCTCAGAGACACACAGAAAGTAGGGAAGAGTGTTTTCAGGGTCTCAGCCAGAGTCCACCTGCTTTTGTCAAATACCTTCACTACACTTTTCTTTCTCTCGCCTGAGTTCATGCAAGGAGGGTGAAAATCCCAGTCTGCACTGTAGAAATTCAAAGTTTTTGGCCAGTGAAGCCTAGAAATTGATATCTTTGGCTGCTCCCCTATACTCACCAACACCCTCATTGAAGAGCTCCCTTACACATGGTGCTATAACCTTTCTCATTAGTCAGACTGGAACTATTTTTTTACCAACTCTGTCCTCATGCAATCTGAAAATAATTATACTGTTGTTGGGTAAAAATTTGAGATGATTATTTCATTCCACAGAGTTTTACAGACATTGAAATAGCAGGGTCAGAAATGTAACACTCTTTCATGGACTGTATTTTGCCTTGTGTTGTTTATGAAGTCACACCATTATACTAGCACTTATATAATTCCCAGATGATTGGAAGCCTCAAAATGTCTTGTTACATGGGAGGGGAGAGGGAAATATTTATATCTAAATATATAGACATAGATAGAGAAATGAGAAAGTTTTCTTATCTGTTCTTCTGAGTCTTATCTGGAGTCATGATGTAAAAGTAATGCGAGTTCTCTATGCAAGAAAGTTTGGCCTCCTACTTAATGATGGCATTGTGATCACCATGTAAGTTCATAAACTCCAGGAGTTTTGCAAAATGAGTGACACACTCATACTGAGAATATTTTAGACCATTTGGGAAAAGTAATATTTATAATATACGGGGAAAAAAAAGAAAACAATGAGGGAGTGAAGGTGGAACAGAGAACAGGTGATCCCAACTCTGTCTCATGAAGAACATAAAGATGCCTCGCATCCAGGGTGAAGGACATGGCCACCAGTGAGCTGGAATGTTCTAAATCAGGGAAAGGCAATAGGAACTGCCTGTGCCTTCTGAGCAGGATGCAGAGAAGAGCTTGCCAGCAGGTAAAGTTCCAGAGTTAGACGCTAACACCAGAAATGTCTCAGGGAAACAGGGCTCTGGAGCCGGAAAGGACTCTATTTGCATGAAATATCCGCACAGGAGAAATGTCACTTATCAGCCCACATTGGCTAGAAGTAAGAGGCTGACTAAAATGAAGCCTAAGAACAATTAACATTTTTTCTTCTTTACCTACTCTTTATTCATTGGTTTCTTTTCCTTAGGCTACAAATGCTTTTATGCTAATTGAGATCCATTTTGTAATATTGAGAAAAAGTGAATCAAAGGAGTCTTCCTCAGGAGGCAATAGTGCAACAATGTGGGTTGGAGAAAAGTTGGGATTGGGCTCTAGTTCTACTACCTAGCAGCTGTGTAAACTTGGGGAAATTGTACTTTTGTCCTCTGCCATGTGAATTTCGTAAGCTGTATCTTGTAAGGATGTGTGAACAACATGTAGGCTATGGAGCAAGAAGAGTAGAAAAATTTTCCAACATTCAGAGTCTGACAAGAACTAATACGTTTTTGATCCCAGATAGAATTGCCTAGCACCAGGACCTTTACTTTTTTAAGTTCAGGATATTTCATATAGGTACAGAATATAATACAGAATCCATACTATCATTTAAAGAACATGGGAAAGAGTAAAAAAAAAATTCCTCCTAAGTAAAACTGCACATTTTCAGTGTACAGTTGTCCTCTCAAGCTGGCTGCAACTCAGACGCCCAGAATTATTGTCAAAGCGCAGTACTTTTGTCCCCTGAATTTGAACTTCCGACAAAACCCTCTGTTCTGTTATTTGTCATATACAACTTCCACAAAGTCTATCGCTCACTTAAAGTCTGGCAAATTACATTCAAGGTAACCTAATGAGAATGTCCTTTTAATGAAGTGGCATCTAATTCTGCATCTTCAAGAGAAATGTGCTAAGGGATAGCATGTGCAAGGTCCTGGGTTACAACCCCAGTTCTGGGTGATCAAATGCGCCAGGTTAGTGGCTTCTACAAAGCTCACCTGAAGGGACTGTTACCCTCAATTCTTAGAAAACTCGAGCAAATGTGCAGAGACTACCTGACTGATCCGATGTGTTCAACATGACTGAAAGCAGAGTCCAAGACACCTTGCTTTCCTACTCGGGAATAGATTTCTCTCTTCTTTACTCACCATCCTAAGGTTACTTTTCAGAAGTTTTCCACAATGTACTAAATGGTGCTGTCCTCTACCACCCCTGTCCAAATCCATATGTTAAGAGCTCATCCTCACTTGATGGTATTTCAAGGTGGGTCTTTCAGGAAGTAATCAGACCTTGGCTTATGAAAATGAGTCCCCATATTGCGGTATTTATCCCTGTGACAGGAGAGTCAATCTCTCCCTCTCTCCCTCTTTATTTCCTCTCTCTTCCCTCCATCACATTTTTTCATCCCTACTAACCCTCCTTTTCCCTGCCTCCACATTCCTCTGCTTTCTTTTTCAACCTTCCTCTTCTCCCTCATCTTCTCCATCCCCCACCTCCTCCTCCTCTTCACCTTCTCCCTATCCCCTTCCATTTCCTACTCTTCCTCTGCTCCTCTCACAATCCTCCACATTCATGAGAGGAAACAAGGAAAGTACTCTATGGCTTTCCATAATTTACTCAATATTTCTGCTTCTCTGCAACCCCTAGCAAAATCATATGCTCAAGTACTAATCTCCAATGTGACAGCATTAAAGGTAAGACTTTGGGCACCTAAGGTTTAGGTGAATTTGTGAGAGTGGGTATTCATGTTCTGATTTATAGCTTACTTAAAAAGTCAAAAGGATACCCTAATGAACTACTGTCTCATTGTAGTTCAGGTATCAAAATTCCAATACAAGAAGCTAAGAATTGATTACTTGAACAGTGAGGAACTGCCATGTAGCCAACCAAAAAACATGAGCTTGATTAAAGTGTGCTGAATAAGACTCAAGAAACTGAAAAGATAATTACCAAAAACTTCATTTCTACTTCCTAGAACAGGGCAAAAACACGTATAAAACTTTCAGTTATTTAAAAAAGAACAGAAACTAAAAGCACTAAGAGAAGTCAAGAATTTATCATGTTTCTAGTTTTATCTCCACTGCATTACTCTGCATGCTGTAGGGATCTTTAATATTCTCAAGAACATTCCATATAGTAATACTCTATTTTCTAAACAGGAAATGTGAGAAGTAAAGATGTTTTTAAGACACTATTCTACAGGGTTTTGTCATAGTAAACTGAACAGATTTAAAGGATTCTGCATGGCATTAACTCAGCACCTCCCACACTAGCTCACCACACAATTTAAATGAAAACTATATCCCACCAGAAACCTGTAGTTTCCAAAGTCCCACACTCTTCCTTGGGAAATATTTACCACACTGCTCTCAAGGACATTCTCAAAATTTTCCTTCTTGTGAAGTTACATATAAGTCAAAAAGGAAGTTCAACAAATTTCTTCAAACACTGCAGAACCCAGGATCAAAAATTCTAGTGGCAGAGACTGGGTCTTCATCACGTGAGTACCAGTGCCCTACCACAAAGCTTGCCAAAAGTATACGATCAATAGTATTTGCCAAATTACAGTCAAGAAACATGAAAGCTAATAAAGATTTAAGTGCAACTTCCACAAATTCTCCAAGAAACATATTAAAATATCTAATTTCCTAAAACAAAAACAATGAGAAAAGCAATAAAGGAACACGTTATAAACTTTTTCTCCACTGCATCACCCCCTGCTGTGGGGTTCTTTATTTGCAAGAAAACACCCTATTGTAAATCCCATTTGCTTAGCCGTATGATCAACAGGCTCCGACATCAAAACGCTTGGGAGGAGCACCAGGGTATGTGGCCCTGGCAACTGCCCTAGGATTGGCAATAGAGCGAGACTGGGAAGAAATCAGGCTTTGGAATCTTTCTATCTCCTCTTTTTTGGCATCTTCATAGAGAGATGTGAAGTAGGTAGGACAAACCTTATTGACCTTCTTGAAAAACTTCAGGATTTTCTCTTTGTTGGTCTCGGCATGAGCTTCGGGGCCCCACAGGAACTCATGACACGCAGGATCACTGCCAGGCACTTGGCGATACACCAGGTAGTTCAGCCTCACGAAATCTTGGGTGAGGAGCTTCTTGGTATCTCCAAACATCATGTGCCTCTTGCTGGGGTGCATTTGCATCTTTTTCAGGAGTGTCCAAATGACTTCCTCAGGAGCACGGTGGTCCTTCATCACGATCACAGCGAGGACTTTCATCAGCAGCCCGGTCTTAGGGTAGCCCCTGCCAGGGCGAATCCTCCCACTGTTGGGGAGGGTCAGCTTGCTGAAAAGGTTGTAGGAGTGATGAGTGGACTCCACTTCTATCACTTCAACTGCGAAGATCACCTCAACGTGCTCACAGGCACGCTTGAATATCTCAGGAAAATCATATCTGAACCTCGGGTTCAGTGACTCGATCATCTCTGCCCTGGTAAAGATCTGCTTTAAATGAAATTTCTGGAGCATGAACCACTCCAACATCTCAATCTGGTACTGATATTCTTCCACGAAATACTCAGTGCAGGGCCTGGCCACAGAAATGTTCTCCTCACCCTTGTAATCAGAAACTTTGTCAGAACTGGCACAAGTTTCAGCACCAGAAAGATCATCAGCACATGGAGGTCTGCACTGAGGTGGGGAGGAACAGCTACAGGAAGCAGCACCAGGTGGGTTCCAGGAAGAGGAAGGCTCCTTTTCCTCTTCTTGTTCTTCTCCTCCTACCGCAGCTGCTGCTGCCTCCCCTTCTGTTTCTGCTGCCGTGGCTTCTGCTGTGGATGGCACCGCTTCCTGTGCATCCTCACCACCCTTATTATCACCTCTGGCCTGTGGGCGTTTCTGACGAGCACGGCGTTTGCTCTTGTTACCACGAGGCATGATGAATCTGGTTAGGCCCAAGAGGGACAAGTGTGAGGAGGATGGCTTGTGCTACACGCACCATGCACCTGGAGGAGAGAAAAGGAGATTGAGTGAGCATCTCAGGGCAGAGATCTCTCCTCAGTTTGAAGGACAGCTGCTTCTGCAGCTCACTGTGAGACTGGTGCTCTAGGAAGCACAGTGGTGCAGTTATAGAAAGCCTGTCCTCCTTGAGGAAAACACAGTGAGTTACAGGCTACATCATGCTGTCCTTTCTGTGGGGTTCTGGACTGCTGACAAAGAAAAGGTATTGGAGTTCTGTCTTGTAGGTGCTGGTTCTTCTTAGTTTGCTATCACACTTATCCCTAACTGTAGGGACATAGTGAACTTCTCACTTCTGCTGCTGTCAAGTTGACTTCTCAAGCCCTAAAGGGAAAATTTTGTACTTCAGAGCCCAGACGTGTAAGTGGAAGCAATTCTCTGGCAATCATCATGTCATGTGCTCTCCCACACTAACAGTGATGTAGAGCACTCTCTTTCCTGGGTTGCTAAGGTGTTCCCTTCTCCTTCGGAGAGTTCTCTTGATCTCCAGGGGCTGCCTGCTACTATCTCTGCTGAATACTACTTGAATCCTTCATCAAATATGCTTCATGTGTCTCTGATTTGCTATGAAGCAGTGACAGAGATGGCACGACACCCCTTCCTTGGGATTTGTATGCTGAATGTACGGATCCGGCTCAAATTCTGTGATACCCATTCAAATAAAACTTCCTTTCAACCACTCATTTGAGCTCCGAGGTATTCCTTTACCTGTGAACTCTGTGGAGCTCTTGCCTTTGGTGCATATGACAGCTATACATACTGCTACTGTCTCTAGCAGTATATCACAGCCACCTCACCTTCATCTATTCTTCCAGTATGCATAAGAACAGATGCTTATGTACAACCTGCTTGGTTTTTGCCTCAGGTCTCATAGTACTCACTTGAACTTCTAGGAATATCTAGAAATTCTCCTACTGTGCACTTAAAGCTTTCCATCTTAGATAAAATCCCTCATCACAATTAGCACCAAACCCCACCCCACAGCACAAAGGAAATTAGTGCTAGCCACATGCCTATGCCCCATCTCAAGTTGGCCATGGGGCATGGATTTCCTCACTCCTCACAGAGGATCCTTACCCTGACTTCTATGTAGCAGGGAAGCTCCCACCTGACTCGAAGCCCCTCCTCTAACCCTCTTTACAGAATATGTGAACAACATTCATTGTTCATTTCCTACTATCTTGTTCGATTTGTTTATTTGTTTGGTTGGGATTTTTTGGTACTGGGAATCAAACTCAGTACCTTGTGCCTGCGACGCAGCACTACCATCTTGTCTTGAAAACTGTTTTCAGAGTATGTAAGCAACAACCATTGTTCATTTCCTACCATCTTGTTTGCATTTGTTTATTTGTGTGTGAATCTTTTTTTTTGGTATCGGTAATCGAACTCAGGACCTTGCACTTGCCAGGTAGGCTCCTCTGGCGTTGAGGTATATGCCCAGCCCTACCATCTGGTTTTGAAATTATATATCCTTTGAAATGGCTTGAGGGCTTTTTTTCTCTTTTTATGTAACTGGGTTTTTTTTTTTCTCTTTAAAATTAAAAGAAAAAAAAAAAGACAAAGAAAATAGCCTGCTATTCTTGATGGCGTCCACTAGAAATGGGAGAGGGACAAGTGTTGTCAGGTCAATCTTTTGGCATCCGTGACTGCTGCACCCTGGCTTGGTGTTCTCCCGTGTGTATCGTGCACACGTGAACAGCCCTGCTGTGCGGACCCGGTCCCTACCCCCTTTGCAGGACCCTCTGCTCCCCCTGAGCACGGGAGCCCTGGCTCAGGGCCTGCGGTCTATTTTGAGCGCTCGGCTCAGGCACCCAAACGGTCGCCCTGGGCCTCTGTTTCGTGATCTTTGCCGGTGGCCTTGGCCTTTTCTCCCTCTCCTTTATGAGAACATCCACTGCTGTTCAGCCCCGCAGTCAGAAGGTCCCAGAGTGAAAATACAAGCCCACCTCAGCCAAGCTGTACGCTTGGGCACCTCTCTGCCCCGGAACAAAGGCGAGACTCTGTGAGGCCGGGCTGGACAGCCGCTTCGGAAGCGGGGTGTCCTCCCTCTCAGTGGAGGTCCTTACCTGACTCGGCCGGAGCCGGGGTCCCTTCGCGGCCTTTCGCAGAGCTGGCAGCCGTGGACACAGCCCCTCACTTGCTGAGGTCCGCAAAAGGAAGTGAGTTCTACCGCCTGTGCTATTTATCGACCTGGAGAGGTGGGCGGCACGGGCAACTTCTTCGGCGCCCCCTCTATGCTGGGGTGCAGGACTCCCTCAGGCTCTTATGTGATTGGACAGATGAGGTCACAAAGCTTTTGGTCCCGCCCTCTGACGCCTCCTCTTTATTGCACAGAACCAAGGTTAAGGGGGCTTCTTGCTGGATGAGATTGACTTGTAGCCTGGGTCTACTGCCTAAGACTTCAGGCAGTGAAAGGCAGACTCTGCCTTAACCCACATATTACTCTATTCGTTTTTCTCAACCAGTAGTTTTCAAAGTCCTCATCTTGGCGCTTTTCACATGAATGAATGAGTTTCTTTTACATATTACATCCCTGCAGATTCTTGAGTATTGCTCGTTTGCAGATACCGGGAAAATAGCTCTTTATCTCTGCTTTGATATTATGTGGGAAACCTGGAAAACAAAGTTGTGAATTTGGAAGAAGATGTGTTTGTCAGGGTCTAGGGATTTAGCTCAGCAGCAAAGCAGCTGCCTAACAAGCGTGAGGTCATGAGTTCAAATCCTGGTACCACAAAAAAAGGATACGTTTGTCAGAGAAACACATAAACTTTTTTCTTGTATTTATCACTGGACTCATTGTTTAAGTTAATCCTGTCTGGAAGATTTAGTTCCCAGTATAAAGTGTCTGTGATAGATAATTTGGGAAGAGCACAATCTTTCATGAAAACTGACAGTACTAATGTAGACAGCCATATTGTTAGCAAATATTTTTCTTTCTTTTTCTACACATACCTCTTATATTTTGATATGGTTGGCTGTTACAACTAAATGCAATATAATACTTTGGCACAAATCCTTTTGTAAAATGTCATTTGAGAAAATCATGTATTTTTAATATATTATTTTTTCTATATAATATGTATTAACTCATATACATATTTATATATATTCTATAGTTGTAAGTAGTAAAGTGAGTAAAGATACTCAAGGTCAAATATAAGATAGAGTTATATGTATGTAATTGTGGCATACATATATGTATATATCTATATGTTCTTATATATTTATAATGACATATATGTGTATTTTAGAGTAGTAGGTGGTAAAGTAAATAAAGACAGTCAGATTCAAGGTAGGATTTTGGGATGTTGTAAGCTTTGGATGAAGTCTCTTTGTGGATTTATCTTAGCTCTAGCTATTATTACCTTGAGAATATGAGAGTAGTACTAGTTCTTTCTCAGTCAGTTCAAGTTGATCATCATGGATAGGGACTGAATATTGTTCTCCTTTGAACTAACTATGTTAAAATCCTGTCACCTCTAATGTCTATGTTCTGAAGTGGGGTATGTGAAAACTAATTAAATTTTGAATGAAACCTGGAGTGCCTGCCCAAGATAACAGAACTACTGTGTTTATAGAAAACTAGGAAGGCAGTTTGTCCTTCTCCACCCTATGATGAAACAGCTCAAAAGTAGCTGTTTCCAATGAACACCCCAACAGGAACTCAATCTCCTGGTACCTTGATCCTGAATTTCTCTTCCTTGGAATGATGAGAAATAAATGAGATTTTCTTAACAATTTATTATATGAACTTCTCTTCTAGAATCAGGCATTAAGTCAAACCAATTGTGCAGGCTCATAGAAAAAATACATATGCATCATATATATATATATGATATATATATATATATATATATATATGATAACAGAACTACTGTGTTTATAGAAAACTAGGAAGGCAGTTTGTCCTTCTCCACCCTATGATGAAACAGCTCAAAAGTAGCTGTTTCCAATGAACACCCCAACAGGAACTCAATCTCCTGGTACCTTGATCCTGAATTTCTCTTCCTTGAAATGGAATTAAATTTTGAATGAAACCTGGAGTGCCTGCCCAAGATAACAGAACTACTGTGTTTATAGAAAACTAGGAAGGCAGTTTGGGATATATATATCCCATAGGGATATATATATCCCATAGGGATATATATATATATATATGTGAAAGGGAACTTGCTCTGAGAGCTGCCAAATAGTCAGTGTCTAATGAATGATATTTATACTAATGTTTACAGAGATAAATCCACCATACTCTGTAGCTATAGATTTTTATTTAAAAAGAAGTAATACTCCAAAATTTCAGAACAAAATAATAGGAGAGTAACCATATTCAATATATTGTGTATTGTTATCTTCAGGGTATTTACTCAGAGTACAAGATACAGACATGAGATATTGTGCAAAAAATATTACCCAAAACCATTCTTTTCAAAGAACTAAGAGAAACGCTGCATAACTATCTTAGCTCTCTTGTTTATAAAATTTTTTCCTTTTTATTTCCCTTTTCCCTTCCTTCATTTCCCCGTTACCCCATCACAGCTTCTCTTGTCTTTTGAACAGCTTCTTCCCAATTCGAAACATCTCTTGTACATTTTGGGTCCTATTTGCTCATTCGGCTTCTCACACTACTGAGAAGGTATGATGTTTAAACATGTGGGTCTGATTTATTTCACTTAGGAGTATGGAGAATTTTCGAGGTATACTTTTAAGGCAGAACATCTTAAAGAAATTGAAATACCCTCAACGGACTCTGATTTAGTAAAAAATGTGCTTTAGCAAGTAAAATGACTATTTTCCCATCAAAGCATCTGTTATTTAATTTGGATTTTGAGCATTCATTCCTCCCAGATAAAGACGAGAGCTCCTAGAATTTTGTCAATGCCCAACTCTTTAGTGCCTCCAAGAACAGGTCCTTTCAAACAGCTTTTATTTTCTTTCATTGCTTCCCTAAGAAATATCTAGCTTTTCCTAAATATTGCCACATTATAATGGACAGCATTGTTAGACATCCCAGGCAAAGCAGTGAATATCTGCTTTTTCAGTTTAAGAAAAAATAGGGCAATAAATGATTTTCATGCATCACACTTTAAGGAAAATTCCATCTTTACATTTTAGAAACTCAAGGAGACAATATATATAGAACAAGTCCATCGTGGACTGTTTTCTCCTGCACTGACATCGAGCAAGAACATCTCTGATTATTGCCTGTTAAGTGCTGAATTGTATTTTCTCTCTTCATAAATGCATGCATTGAATTTCCAGCCTCCACTATAAGAAAATGCAACTGCATTTAGGGGTAATGTGTCAGGCTTGGAATAGTACAGCAATGTACACCCTATAGGAATTCAGACCTGGCCTATAATCCATCTCTTTGTCTTAAAAGTCTTGCTTGACTTGAGAAAATCCAAGTCCTTCCTCTGCAAATAAAATGCAATCAACACGATCATGTACAATGCAGGTATATAAGTAAATTTTCTAACTGCTTCAGTGCAATTGTAGACAAAGATTTGAATTTTCATAAATAATAATGGTCGTTATTATTAAAATCATTTCTATAGTAGATGTTCACCATTCCACATATAATATATTTTTAAGATATTATGCTGCAGAGAGTTTATACACTTGGGAGGCTGAATGTCATGTGAAGCCTTTCCACCTAATAGCACATTAATGTGACTTGCCTCAGGCACTATGTTCTTGAGACTAGAGTAGGTTGTTCCTGTGACTTAACTCAGGCTCTGTGTTCTTGAGATTAACCTTGCTTTGGTCTTCCACTTGATAGATCTTCAGCTTTAGCTGCTCCCCACATCTCCACTTTTCTGTTCTATAGTGGTGAGTAATGGGTATTTTGTAAAGATTGGAGGAGCTGTATTTAGGGCACTGTATGGGAAACTGTCGCCTTCTTGAATCCTTTCCTATGTAGATGAACTTGTCCAAATTAGAGGAAAGATTCCCAGTACAAAGATTTGAAGTCCCTGCATGTAGCAATTTAATCGTATATCTCATATTAACCCAGAGTGACCAGTTACTAGTGTAGTTGGCAATTGTTTTATAACTCTTGTAGTTATACTTTTCTGCTTGATATTCAAGACCAAATTGAGGTGAGACCCATATTAATCAATGTTTGTCATTTGTAAAGATCAATTAAGTTTCTTCAGGATTTACCTTGGAACCATGTGTAGCATCTCTAGTTCCTCAGTGAGTGTCATCTTTCTGGATGAATCATAGTCATTGCTTGACCAATGTTACTTTCTGTGAAATCTTGGGAGACCTTTTCTCCTACAGATTCTTCTTAGGCACACTATTCATCTTTGATCTTATCCTCTGGGGTCCTACAATCTCCTTGATCAGGCGTTTGTATAACTCACCAGCATTGCAGGAAGTCACTGAAAATGTTCCCTCATGTACCTTGTCCTCATAGACCTATAAGAGTTAGAGCCAAAAGATTGTCTGTCCTCTTAGTCCATATAACTTTCTAGTTTTGGTCTTCATATTTCAGTTGTTGAACATACAGAAGAGAAAGTAAATGACATTTTGTAATGAAGGCAGTGAGTTTAGTATTACTATTTTATCTGAATGTGAAGTACCTTAGAACATAAAATAGAACCATTATGTTCTAACAACCATAGATGTTCTAATAGTTGAATCTGGGTAGAATGCCAACAGGTATTATTTAGTTTTACACAAAAAAATGAAAATCAAAACCATACACAATATTGTAGCATGATAATCGTGATATTTTTGTGACAAACTGAAATTTCCATTAGGACATAGTGTAGCTCTTAATCAGTCATGTCTATCTAGTTCATAGGAAGCTTCATCGAACTTGTTGACTTTCAATGGGATGTCACTAAAAAATTTATGACTTTGTCTAGAGGAGAATATTTTGGCTTCTCTAAGTATAGTAGCATGTATATAATATCTACATCATATCAGTTTTTGTCATTATTCTTGACTGGTGACCTCATGTTGGTTTGACATGAACCTCCGAGTAAAATTATTTGGAGTACAAAGGAAAGGCAAATGTCTGAATCAGAAAGGAAAGGTCTATCAGCATAAACAATCCAGGTTTTACATTTTCAAAGACCTGTACATTTAGAGGTATGAATATCTTTAATACTTTTGTTTTTTAAATTTAGTTCTGAATCAAAGCATCTGTGAATTAGAAACCCTTACTGTCTCTTTATTAGAAAACTTACTATTTTTGATGATGAACAATGTAAGCATATCACAATAATATATTTA